CCATATTTAGCCCTGTTCTTCAATAAGTGGACTTTCCTTTTACCGCTATTCGCCGTCAACTTTTTGCTTGTTCCGGAATTCTGACTCGAGTATCCGCGGACGCTGGCGGGCAGTTCGATTACCCGACCTAAATAGGAACCTAGCACATGTAGTACAGCGTAGTATTTAGGCTGTATGTCACACTTCAAACATTTCATACCACTGAACCCTGCTAGGTGTGTTAGGATCAATGACCTGTCGATGCATGCTAAGCGGTTCAGTGTTTGAGATCTGAACAGTTATAGTTTTCGGCGAACATACAACCTTATTTTTAACGCAAAGCACTTTCCTTTTTATTTTTAACTTTTTGTGGAAAGTATTGTTGTATTTTTGTTATCATTTTTACTAATCTACCTTTCGTTTACGCACCGCTTACCTTCGAGCAACTTAATTTTTTTTAAAGGGGCTTTTCTGTCTTAAAAACGCCCGTCGCACTAATAGAGGTAACTTTTCTCCTTGTTGGAGTTGAATTTACTTTTTCTGTCTTCTTTCCTTGATTTCGCAGACTGAGTTACCGTGGGCTCTCTTCTGGAAATGAGCCAGGCGAGGCCGCCTTTCAGGCGCCCCTATAGATTGGCTCATCAGTCATTGTGCATCACACAAATTGATTTTTCCCAGCAGCTCGTGCTCGGCTTTACCCAGCTTGTGATCTGGCCTCGAACCACCAGCGTGCGTCAAGTATTCCTCAACGTCCGCCAGTGCCGTATTCATCGAGTGCTTGTTGAGTCTGCTGATGAGCACTTCCATTCCTCCCTAGACTCTTCTCAGTCGTTTACTTGCCCGCCTCCCACAGATGTGCCAACCAACTACACTGACCCTTGTCTGGAAATATCTAAACGCGACTGTAAATTACGAACGTTAGATAGCTTTGAGCGACGGCAGACCTCAGTTGTCGCGTCCACTGACCCGGACGAAGGTAATGGGGAATTGTCTATTCGTATTCCGCCAGCTTTCCTGAGCATCGTCTTTGATCTACGACCACTCCTCATCACCGTGGAGTTTTCTCTCTCGAAGCCGAAATATGGACTTCAATTTGTCCTGCCGAACGCTGGCGACTCATACTCTACTGCGGGAATGCATGCCTTCACTTCTGGTCCACCAAACGCCTCTCGACTCTGGTTTCCCTGCATCGACTGCAGTGAGCCCTGCACCTGGAAGATCGAGATTACGGTAGACGAGGATCTGGTTGCGATTGCGCCTGGCCAACTCCTCGGTCCACCTCAGTACACCAACGATTTGCGATCTAAGACTTACCAATTCTACATGGCGCAGCCCGTCTCGGCGCCCTACATTGGCCTGGCCGTCGGGGCATTTGAAATTTACCCCGATCCTTTACTGCCAAATGCGGCGACACACTTCTGCCCCAAGGGACTGCTGCCCCTTCTTGAGCACACAATATCATCTGTTGCCGGCATTGTCGAGCACTACGAAGCAATTTTGGCTTCGCAGTTTCCTTTTTATAACCTAAAGACAGTGTTTGTGGATCGAGCGTTTGACGACCACCAGTCCTTCGCCTCATTCATAGTCTTCTCGGTAGACCTGTTGCATTCAGCACGCATAATTGACCAAGCCATTACCACAAGACGTATCTTTTCCTTCGCGGTGGCCCAACAGTTCTTTGGTTGCGCGCTCCAAATGGAAACCTGGGCTGCCGCCTGGCTGCCCTACGGTATTGCTGGTTACCTCTCGGGACTCTACCTGAAGCGGATTCTTGGCAACAATGAATACCGCAACTTCATTGCCAATGAGATGCACGCGGTAACAAATTATGAGCACATCAAACATGGCGTTATACTGGATCCGTCGACCGTCGTCCTGAAGAGTACTTACTTTAGTCTCAAATTTCCCCAGGTAATTCAATCTTTCAGTTCGTTAAAAAGAGACTGCTCAGCTCACATTTGTTGTTTTAAATCTGTTTCCGTGGCAAGTGATTATAACTTAGAGTATCATTGCATTCACACAGTCGACCAAGTGGACCTCATCTTTTGTACTTGCAATCGTTAGGCTGCGTCATGAGTGATCTAGCCGGCCTCTATGCTGTCCCATATGGTACTTCTCCACGCATGAGGATCTGTGGCAGCAGACTGAGACAGTTCAATCCATTTTCTTTGCTGACGCCTGAAGCCGAATACCGAAGGTACAAGAACCACTTCCATGTCCTGACGGACCGTGTACAGCAAGATTTTGAACAGACTTTATTCTACGTCTCCAGTTGGGTAACGGTGTACGATCGAGAACAGTAACACAAATTGAGCGGTTAACTACGAAGGACGTGTGCAAACCACCTTAGTCGTCCTTCTTTAATGGCTTGGGATATGCTTGCGACGTTGGCGCAGCGAGTAGGGACTGTCGCATTTGAGACGAAGTCGGTGTACTTCACTCGAAGGATGGTCAGTGTCAGTATATTTGAGGGATATGTAGGTGATTGCCTTTGAGTTCCCTATTTGTACATTTGTGTTGTGGTAGCAAAAACATTGTATCTCAGTTTATTGCCGAGGCCAATTGACCTGAGCCATGAGGTGGAACACAGTCCTCAAGTAATGGTGTTAAAATAACAGTTTTCTTTCAGCTTTCACGTACATAGTCAAGCATTAACAGCCGTGCAGAAGGACAGGCCGAAAGGATGCACGGTACCTTACGTGACCCTTCTTGGTTATAGAAATATCGCTTCGGGTCCATGGGCACTTTCTAAGGCTTGATAAAATCGGACAAGCTGCATCGATTCGAGAGACAGTGTCATTCTTACTCCGTCCACTCGGCAGCTACCTCGCTCCGAGGGATTTGAAACTGTATACTTCTTCACGTTGGCAGTTACAAGTATCGAGAGGTGTTTTCTATTGGACAAAGATGCAGCACGCGAACACTTTGGTCTTCCCAGTGTTT